GGGTTCAACAGCTTTGTCCTAATACCACACACATTAAGAGACAGTATCTTAAGTTTCTCGTGGGAAGTTACGTTTTCACTGTTAGGCGACTCACGGGTTTGCTGACCTCCGTTATTCTCCTACCGCGGCCTGTTTTCTCCCGTGTCCTCAGTCCTGGCCATCTTGTTTGGTTGTCTGTTGTCTGACCGACCGACGCCACTCGCGTATGATCTCCTGCTGGGGGGAGGGCCTCGTGGGGTGAGATCTATAAACGGGTCGTCTCCTGGGTACACACGTCTCCCGTCTATATACAGTCTGTCTACAGTGAGGTTAGACTTCAAACCACGCCTCCTTGCTTCCTTGAAAATGGGGAGTAGATCTCTTCGTCTCTGCACAATCTCTTGAGGAAATTGTTCACTAGCACCGAATTGCGTTTCTCTCAGCTGTCTTGTGTTAGTCAGGATTTCCCACCGTTCGTCTGGATTTGCAAATTTTGCAACTATAGTACGTGGTCTGTTAGATAAGTGAGGGCCAATCCTATGTACACGTAAGAGGTGAATGTCTGTGTCACACTTCATTTCTTTCTTTAAGAAACATTTAATTACCTCTTTAGGTTCTTCTCCAGGCATTTCCGGGATCCCGTGAAAGAGTAGATTATCTCTCATAGAGCGTGTTTTCAGGTCAATAACAGATTCTTTCAGGTCTCGCTGTTCCTGGTATATGGAGTCTATGTCATAAAACACGTCTTCTACATCTCTCGACAACCTGTCCCGATCCTCGGTACTCTGTTCTGTAAGCTCCCGTACCTGTTGTTTCAGCTTTTTGTTTTCTGATGCAGTCTCTCTCACACAGGCTTCAAGCTTATCAACGCGAAGTGTTGTCTCTATCATTGTAATGTCGAGAGATGTCAGCTTATTGTCAATCATAGTTAATTTACTGTCAATGCTATCAACACATTGCATCCTCTGGTTTATGGAATTAATTTATGGAGAAATCGGGGCCTGGTCATAAGCCAGCTTATTATAGAAGGAACACGTGAAGATCTTGGGTAGAATAGGTCTTCAGCAACCCAAGCTAGTCTCACCCCGTGAAGATCCGAGGTAGAATAGGTCTTCAGCAGCCCATGCTTGTCTCACCCCGTGAAGATCCGAGGTAGAATAGGTCTTCAGCAACCCATGCTTTCCGTAACAGGCGATTATGCTTGTCGTAAGAGGCGACTAACGAGATCGGGTGGTCAGGCTCGCTGACTTGGTTGATGCATGTCATCGTATCCCAATTGCGTGGATCGATACTCATGATATCAATCCTTGGATTGTCTGGTCCTGACTCGATTATTTACAGACCGCCGTCATATAGCTGGACTATTGCTGAGTCTGGCGTTAAACAACAAACAAAACAAACAAATAAGGCTAAGTTTCTCTGAAATCCTTTCTTGTCCCATCTATCAACGTAAAGACGTTTTGAAGTAAGGCAGAGATACGACAAATAAACAAACAAACAAAACATAATTTTACCCTTTACTTTGTGAAAATCTTGAACATGAGAAGGCAAAGTGATTGTAACTTAGATAAAAAAAAACTTGATGAAGGGAAATTGGTTCTAACATACATTGTGATCCTTGTGATTAGACCGTTCTATGAAATGACTTTTAATATACATAAGCAACAGAGAACTGAAACATATTCGATGTCAACAGTTTCACTCAGACCTATTGTCAAAGAGCCTCTTATATAGTTGTATACAATTTGTCTTTAATGCCTCCTTATGTATGTGCCTAGTAACACAGGATTGTTGTTAGAGACGAGTTAAATTAAGATCCGGTGTCTACTGTTTGAGCATGTCCAGGACTCGATTATTTACAGGTCGCCTTGATATAGCTATTATGCTACTGACTGCAGCGAAACACACTTCATTCACCAATTCACTACTGGTTTTGGGTATCTCATAAACGTAGTAGGGGCTTTTGCCACCACCGGTCTGTCAAGTCCCTCCACCAACACCAATCGCCGCTTAAAGAACTGGACAGCCGCCTTGTCACTGAGATCTTGGAACTCCTCCTTGTGTTGTAGCCCATTAGTGCCACTGTATTCAATGTGCACAGCCCGAGCCAGACAATCCTCAAGGACATCATCAAAGTCATATCGGTCTGCTAGATGCATGAAATGTACCAGCCGAGACTTGGATAAAGTTCGCACGTGTAGTTTCAGGTAGGTCTTTACAAACCTGCGACAGCGTTGTATTAGAGACATCATTGCATATTCCTCCGCCAGTGGAAGTAGTGCGTCAATGTTGTCTACTGTGACCGGATTGACGGTCGATGGGTAGATGCACAGTAGCAGCTCTACAATGTCGTCGTATGTCTTCCCGGGTAGCGGAACTTCTAATGAGGTTTTCTTTTTGAACTTCCCAAAAAACATTTTTTCAAAGACTGGAGATGCAAGCGAAAGTACTGTTTTGTTCACGTGCAGCTTTTGGTCCTCGACTACAAGCGCCACATCACTTGTCAGGGATACCTCGGAAAACATGTTCTCAGAATTTTCCATGACCGCTTCTGTAATAAGAAATTCTATATTAGGAGCATGAGACGACGGTCTCATACGATCACATACGCGCCACCGAGAGTTGGTTTTTGGACAGTTAATTTCCTTTTCGTGATTTTTTGACGTTTCAGCTTTGGCCAAATACACTCATCTCGACAGGTAATGTGACTGAATATTGGTAAAAAGTGGTTTGTTGGCATTGAGTTGCACACGACAACAGACTTTTGTTTATTAATCATGTCTTCCCGCTAATATTGTCTTCGGCTTTTGAACAGATGCACACAATTTGACGTATTACCTTTCATAATTTGTATTCTTAGCACACTTTGAGCTTTATATTATGAGGGTCAAGATTCGTAAAGCACATTCTCAAATTGATCAAGACATCTATTTCGGAATTGTCGCATGACTGCATGTTCGGCGTCAAGCAATAACTATTTACTGCTATAAAATAAGTTGTCAAGAAAGTGAGGGGATATAACTCTAAACACTATTCTCTGGGGTAGCTATATCATGAAGACCAAGTCATTCATTAATAGTTGTAAGGAAATATCATATTTTGGTGTAGCAGACGCCCATAAGCTCCACACACTGGTGGACCATTTACTTGTTTGGGCAGAGTCTGGTGTTTTTTCATTATTCTTAAATACTTTGTCATTATTCAAACTATTTCTTATTGTATACTGAGGTGAAAATATATTTTATGAAAATATTAACTGCATTAGTTCGGTACTTAAATGTGTTTTCGTTGTTTTTTTAGGTGAGTGAATAAGCCAGCTGTCACAGACAGATATAACAGTTTTATTCAATTAACAGTTAATTCACACCTGTGAAACTAATTTTTCCCGTAGTGTGTGTATATTTTGATACTTTGTTTAGAATCAAACCTTTTTTAATGGTAGATCTAATAGTAGTTTTCTTTTTATTCATCAGACGGCAACATTACGCAATCGTCTAGGATCCCTACTTGTATGTTATCTAAGCCTTAGGAACTGTATTGTAATGTATACTCATGTACCACCGATGGTGTTTTTTCTGATAATACACAGCATACGAGAATCCGAATCCGTTTATACATAGAAACCGCCAGGGTGTCGAAACAATAGAGTGAAGGAGTGACTGAGTATGGTTTTACGTCGCTTTTAGCAATATTCCAGCAATATCACGGCAGGAGACAACAGAAATGGGCTTCACACATTGTACCCATGTCGGGAATCGAACCCGGGTCTTCGGCGGGACGAGGAACGCTTTAACCACTAGGTTACCCGACCGCCCCTCAAAACAATAGAATATACTTCCGAATAAAACCGAGGAAGCGTCTCCGGCAGTGAACAGTATTGTACACTAGTCACGTGGTACCAGGCCACTGTCATGTTATACTCACTATCGTCAACCTTGTATCTCTTGAGCAGGGTGGCGAGTAGGCAGTCACCAAGGCCACAGACCACAACGCAGACACCAGGCACAGCAGGAAATTGAATTTGCATCAAAACTGTGGCGACTAATGTTCAGACTTATCTGCTCTTGAATGTATGCATTTAAAGAGTACGTTCGTCGATAGTGTCACATGTGTCCCATTCAATACCAATTGATTCGTCTGTACACAGGTTTAAGCATGACAACACTATTACGAGGTCGCTATAAATAGCCAATGTCGTGAGGTGTTTGTTGTTACATATAGATTACATACACAAAGAGTCCTTGCGAAGCTGTAGCGTCGGCTGTTTGAACAAGATGATTCTGTCACAGTAAAACTGTTCATATCATGAACACCTGATGCCTATTCTTTGACGCTGACGTTTGATATTTATATGTCAAACATTCTATTTATCAGAGATATGAACTGCTAAAAATCAAGATTTATCCGAATTTGTAAAACTCTGGCATATGTATGTGGACCTGAGGACTTAATTGCATGACATCCCTGGGCTGAAGTATAGCTCACATGGTCTCTGATACAACGTGAAACTAAACTGTTGTTATTGCTTAGTGTAAACTGCCGGGCAAAAGACACTTGCAAAATGGATTTTGCCGAAATATTACAAACGTTATCAAAACGTTACTAGGTTGAAAACAGTCGCCGAAACACTGCAAACTTAAGGCCCAAAACACAACTATGATACCCGTATCAAATACATCACTATCGAATAACCAGTTCTTGTTTTTTCAATTAAGCCACCATCAACCATAAGTATACTTTCTTTTGCCCGGCAGTGTAGTATAATTCAATGTGATGCCACCGACGTAGTGGCACAAGTCGTGTACGCAGATCCAAAGTACTGCCTATATACTGTTATTTACCTGTTATTTCATGTACACATTATAATATAAGACTGAACGTTCCTGAAGGTAATGGTGCTGAAGCTTTGAAGACAGCTAGCATTTCAACATTTGACCTGGCATATTACAAACACAAGAACATCTATTTCTTTTTCAGTTAAATACATGTATAATGTGATTCACGCGTGTATCAAACATAGGGTTCTCAAAACATCGTAAACGACTCTATAAAACATACTGCCGTCAAACTGATGATTATGCACGATGACAATACACGTGGATTAACAACATTCACGTGTCCCACAATTTGTCTTTAACAAAGTCCTCGTTGTGGACGTCCCAAATAAACAGGATTGGTGTAAAAGACGACTTAAATGAGGATCCGGTGTCAACTGTTTGAGTATGTACATGGAAACTATGGATCGGTGTTAAGCCAATGGTTGGCCAGGTCTCGTTTATTTACAGGTCGCCTTGATTTTGCTTTTGTGCTATTGACTGAGATGAAAAATGATTTATTCTCCAATTCATTACTGACATTCTCAATTGTTTGGTGAATGTCCGTATCCTAAGATCAAAATGTACGTCTGACTTGTAAAACGATCACTATTCAGACTCTTTGAAAGCAGGCAGCATATTCTTGATAACGTGAGCTAAATCTTCCATCGCTTCAGTGCCGAGCTTCCGACATCGCCCGCAACACACAGCCTTACATTCTCGACATTCGTGCCTTGCATGGCGGTGGGAGAACTCGTTACACTTGCCGCTGATGATAGTCTGGAAGTCCTCTTGGAGGTTCCCGGAAGCAGTGGTGGAGCTCTCCAAAACCGGTCTGACAAGTCCCTCCACCAACACCAATCGTCGCTTAAAGAACTGGACAGCTGTCTTGTCGCAGAGATCTTGGAACCCCTCCTGGTGTTGTAGCCCATTGACATCACTGTATTCAATGTACACAGCCTGGGTCAGACAATCCTCAAGAACATCATTAAAGTCATATTTGTCTGCTAGATGCATGAAATGTACCAGCTGAGACTTAGATAGAGTTTTCACGTTTAGTTTCAGGTAGGTTGTGACAAACGTGCGACAGCGTTGTTTTAGTGACGTCATAAGGTATTCCTCCGCTAATGGAAGTAGTGCGTCAATGTTGTCTGCTGTGATCGGATTGGTGGTCGATGGGTAAATGCACAGAAGCAGCTCTACCATGTCGTCGTATGTCTTCTCGGGTAGCGGAACTTCTAATAAGGTTTTCTCTTTGAATTCCCCAAAGAACATTTTTTCAAAGACTGGAGATGCAATCGAAAGTACTGTTTTGTTCACGTGCAGCTTTTTACCCTCGACTACAAGCGCCACATCACTGGTTAGGCATGCCTCGGAAAACATGTTCATTGACTTTTCCATGGCCGCTGTAATGAGAAAGTTTAGAAACATTTGAAAATTTCTTTTGCACAGCTCCATGTTCTTGTGGTGAAACAAAGCATAGCGATGACTTCAGACTTTCCCCAAGACCCTATCCACGACGAATTATTCAATGCTTGACAAAACGTAAGTTCTTTGAAATAATCACCAAATAACAGTTTGTTTGTTTTTTGTACATTTTACATTATATACACAGTACATGTGTAGCTGCTTCTTCCCGAAGCAAGGTGTCAACTGACTGTAAAAGCCTACCCGCGCCGAACTAGACTGGCATTTCTAGACTCGATCGTTGCGCCACCAGTGGCTATTACAAGTCTCGATCCTTCTATGTCCCTCCTATTGACCAATCATATTCCACCTCTCATATCACCTGCGTTTGCTTCATGCAAAATGACGGCGTGCAGTCGAGATGATCTGACCGATAATCAAAATTTATTGTGATAAAACGGGTCTTACTTCGCGAAGTGCATCAAATGGCATGAGTGCCTTGATTAAAAAACTTGAAAAAATTTGGAAAATATCTGTTGACGCCGATTTGGCGGTACACTTGCTTTACAAATCCTGCAATAGACCAAAATAATCCATAATTTCAGCCTAGTTCGGCGAGGGTGGAAACTGGACTTTTATAGTCAGTTAACTTCCTTGACTCGGGAAGATGGTGTAGCTGTAACGTTTACTATGCATTAGAACATAAATGGCCTGCGATACCTTGTGAGCTACTGTCAGTGACAATCGAGTGTATTATATGTCCCTGTGATTTCACACACTGAAGTGACAGCTGACATAAACGTACATGGAGATACAGACTGTAGTGTCTTCATACAAAGTAACTGTGAACTGTGAGACACGACAGTGGCCTGTGTAAAGAATATACACCCGGATAAAACCGAGAAACGTCTCCGGCAGTGAACAGTATTGTCCACTGTCACATGGTGTTGGTCAACTGTCATGTTATACTCACTGTGTGTTCTATCGTCTACCTTGTGTCTCTTCGGCAGGGTGGCCCTCCGTGTACTGTCAGTCAGCGGGTGGGCAGTCACCGAGACTACAGCGTAGCACGTGGGCACAACGTCGACACAACGTCGGCACAACGTAGGCACAACGTCGACACAACGTAGGCACAACGTAGTCTTCATCGCCGACGTACTATACACGTTGCCCTTTCAGCGTCCTATTTCAATCAGTTCTTGTTTAGATATGGTTAACCTGTAAACGGCTTGGTGTATTATATATTTTAATATAAGACAACATTGCTAAATCCAACGGAGGGAACACTGGCTTTGTACAGCTAGCAGGAGCTCTACCGAATAATTGAATCAACACTTGCGAATATTGTGTAGAGTTATGTGCTCTTGATATGAGTCAGGCGCTAAATCGATCTCTACGTGCAAACAACGTTTGATTTGTGAAATAACCAACTCGCCGTTTAGAAACACTAGTCGTGTTATGTTTTCAAAAGTATTATTCCAATGAAACAAACATCGTTGTTAATGTATGCATTTACTTTTTAACAAAAAACTTGTGTTCCATTCATTACTCAATGAATCGTCTGTAAAATGTTTGAGTGTGAGGACACGAGAACGGGGTGGTTATAAATAGCCCACGCCAGGCGGGGCTTGTTGTCCACATTGATAACATACATACCGAGTCCACACGTAGCTGTAACGTTGGCTGTTTGAACAAGATGATTCTGTTATATTAAAACTGGCTTTATATTTCTCTTCGAAACATACCGGTGAAGATACGGGTTTGAATTGATCTTCAGCAACCCATGCCTGCCGTAAAAAGCGACTTTCCTTGTTGTGAGAGTGAGTGAGTGTGTTAAAATGTAACGTCACATTGGCATTATTTTTAGCCAAGTGGTGACGAGCTTGTCGTAAGAGGCGACTAACAGGATCGGGTGGTCAGACTCGCTGACTTGGTTGATGCATGTCATCGTAAAACTATCCAAATTGCGTGGATCGATGATCATGATGCCAATCACTGGATTGTCTGCTCCAGACTCGATTATTTACAGACCGCCGTCAAATAGCTGAAATATTGCTTAGTGCGGCGTGAAACTCCTATGTATATGGACCGGGGATTTTTAACTATAATCTATATCTATAGTCTACCTTTGACACCACTGGGGTGAACTAAAGCTCAGATCGTCTTTGGTGCCACATGAATCTGAACTACTGTTATTGAATTATGTGATCTGCTGGACAAAAGAAAATGGTCCCTTGAAAATTGGATTTGACCAACAAATTACAAACGATAGGAAAACGTTGCAAGGCTTAAATCTGCCTGTTGTTGTCCATTTGTGTCCACCAGATAGATGCAGTTACTGTAAACTATGTTTATAACGAACACGCTCTTTAAAGAACTAATGATAACGAACGCATTGTTTGGTCCCGATCATTTGTCATATATATGCTGTGTATATTCTTATAACGAACTACGCTTATAACGAACTAAAATTTCTGGCCCCTTTGATTTCGTTATGCCCGTAGTTTACTGTACGCGGAAATCAAGGAAGAATGTGCACTTTTATGGAAGGCTGAGTGTCACGGTGCCTGTTTGTGCAGTTTGAGTCTCACACTATCAACCACTGGTTTGCTTGCTCCAGCACCCCGTAAACAGTCGATGACAGTTTGAAATCTATTCACTCACTTAATAGTTGTACAAAATGTTCTTGTTAAAATTATACACATCAATTTTCACACAACTACTGGTATATAGGTGTTCGGTTTGTATAGGTGAGGGAAGATATCCGCGCTGTAAGAAGTTCAACTGGTGATATCATTCAGCCGGAGTTGACGAAATATGGAGGACACAAAGAGCTCCAGAATACCAGAACAAAACAGAACAGCACTTTTCTCTCAGGCCGAGCCCATCGGCACATAAGGTACAATCAGTATTTTACATTGCGGTGGACAGAGGTTAACCGAGAGTTTTTACAATTTCGTTATAATGTTTACAAATTTACATAGTTAGTTTTGGAATAATAACTTATGGCAGTTAAATAATTGCTGGAGTTGTAACACGTTTGGTCTTTTTAAATAGTGTTTTGGATGTACATGTCCCTTTGTTCATTGAAATATTTACATTTGAGTGAGTGAGTGAGTGAGTGAGTATGGTTTTACGCCAATATTCCAGTAATATCAGGGCGGGGGACACCAGAAATGGGCTTCACGCGGGTTTCTCCCACATAAAGCTTGCACGCTGTGAAGTAAATGAAAAACCGTTCAAGGGCGTAAAACACTGCTCACTCACAAGACAATAACTCGTTCTCACTCATGTCAGGAAGTGTTGTGTATACGGAAAGCGAAATAAAGAAGAGTTTTTAATATTTCACAAGAACAGTGTACAAGGAAGAGAAGTTGTCACTCGACCACACCACCAACAAGAAGAGAAAACCCTTTCACAGGTGCAGCAAGAACACGCTCACTGCACAATCTTGTGTTTTATGCACAGAGCAAGACCCATGCGTTCCATGCATTTCCCCACGCTCGTAGCGGTTTGTACTGTTCACAGTCACCCAATTACATGTTGGACTACACTGTATTGTTTAGTAGATTATAATAACCGACCTTCATATATTAGTTTAATTAATAAGGTATGAGTTATCTTTAGTTTTTAAATAATAATTTACAGAGACATTCATCATCATCGGGGAACATGTCACTCGATGTTGAACCATAATCTATCACACTACACCCTAAATGCCCTTGGGTGGCCCAGTCGTCTAAGGCGCCGCGATTCGCTGTGCAGAGTTGCGTCCCTTGCGCACACCAGAGACTTATGATTGTGGGTTCGAATCCCGGATCGTCCCGATTATGTTTCTAGGTTTCTCAGCACCATACCTGTGATCATAGGCCAATTCGCTGTGCAGAGGCCTTCGAGAAACCTTTGATCACTGGTTGCACACCCCGATCCGCCCTGATTAGGTTTCTAGGTTTGTCGACACGATACTCATGTTCGTGGGTTTGACCAAGGCAATGAACATCTACGACCTGCATCACTTCGGATGTGCCTCCCACATTAAGCTGAGTCGCCGTGATATAACTCAAATATTGTCGAAAAGGTCACTCAACCACTCACTCACTCACTCACTCAACACCTAGTCCTGGTTGTCACTGTCAACATCATATGTAGAGGCGGACCCCACATCTTCCCAAACTACACGTTTTCAAACACGATTTAATGAAAATAAAAAGTCTTACTGACCAGAATCTCTCTATGGGCCAAGCTGAGCAAAATGGTTATACATGCCCACATATTTTCATAACGTTGAAATCAATCCGTTTTTTTTAACCAAATAGCAAAATAAGTGATGGTGATGGTCATATGGATCTATCTTTCCCGCCTATAGCATAATATCACAACCATGAAATTAGTGTGGGAATTTTGTTTCACATTATTAATTTTAATTTACACGTCAACAGCTGGTAGTGAGTGCGTATGGTTTTACGCCGCTTTTAGGAATATTCCAGCAATATCACACCTGGCATGGAATTCACACACTGTACCCACGCGGCAAATCGAGCCCCAGGACTTCGGCGTTACGATCTTACGCTTCAGCCACTAGGCTACTCCACCGCCCCGGTCTATAAATAGAAAACAAGTGTGTCTGTAAGCTTGTAGAATATGTGAAGTGTGTAAAACAGTTAAATATTGAATATTTCCCCATTCAATTACCCACCCGTAGCTTGTTGTGTATCGTAGCGTTGTTTTTGATATCGGGATGAATTGGTGAGTCGATGAATCTTAATAATAGAACCTGTTGTTTCGCTTTGCAGCCATCATTGTTAAGGAGGTGGGTATGACAGCTTCATGACTTAATTTACCATTTAAAAAGTTTTTTGATCTGTCCGGAAATATATATTTACATTGACGGATAATGATACAAATGTCTATTAACATGATGTACACACACGCACACACGCACATGCACACACACACACGCACACACATACGCGCGTATTATGTACATATACATAGAATGACGTAGATGGTATTTACACAACGAAAGGTGAAATAAATAGACAAGAACAAATCATCTACGTCTAGCCAGCTTTTGCAAAGCTGAGTTAAGCGTAAATCCGATTAGTCTACTGAAAGAAGCCGTTTCTAATCTACAATTCGTGGAGCTCTGCTACAGTGAGGTGACTTGATGTACGTGAGGTCATCACTAGCAGGAAGCAGAGCATTGTGGTACAGGGCTGAGATTGTACTTCCTGTCAGGTGTCCGCCATGTTCCGACCCTCGTGATCTCAGCACAGGGTCAAGCTAACGTTTTACTTCGAACCTCTACTTCTTTTGACGTTTGTATGTGTATCTGAGGGCTGAAGAGGGAGGGGGTGCAGCATGTATCTAGGCTCTATGAGGGGTGAAGGGTGGGGGTGGGGGGTGGGGAGAATGGGGTGCAACCTTGATCTAGGCTCTATGAGGGTGAATTCGAATGAGAATGGGGTGCAGCCTGGATCTAGGTTCTAGCGAGGGTGAAGGGGGCGGGGGGGGGGGGGGGGGGGGGGGGGGGGGGAACAGCCTGGATGTAGGCTCTATTAGGGGTGAAGGGGTGCAGAGCCTGGATCTAGGTTCGATGAGCGGTATAGAGCGGAAATCGAGGGATATTCTGGTCAAGGTTAGACTGATGGTTGAAAGGGGACAACAGTTTGGGCAACCATACCATTCTACGGCCAATCTAAAAGGAGAATACGGAAATCATTACTATTAGGTTCTGGGGGCGGTGAAGACGTTTGGTCGCCTGGGTCGCATAAAATCATGTAAGGGGCCGGGTGTGGCAACCCTGGGTCGCCTGATCTATGTTGGATGAGCTTTATAAAGGAGTGGCAACCTGCTCCAGGTTGTAGGAGCTGTATAAAGAGGGAGTGGCAACCTTCTCCAGGTTGTAGGAGCTGTATAAAGAGGGAGTGGCAACCTGCTCCAGGTTGTAGGAGCTGTATAAAGGGTGTGTGGAAATCGGCTCTAGGTGTTTTGAGCTGTATAAAGGGGGAGTGACAACCTGCTCCAGGCAGTAGGAGCTGTATAAAGGGGGAGTGGCAACCTTCTCCAGGTTGTAGGAGCTGTATAAAGAGGGAGTGGCAACCTGCTCCAGGTTGTAGGAGCTGTATAAAGGGTGCGTGGAAATCGGCTCTAGGTGTTTTGAGCTGTATAAAGGGGGAGTGGCAACTTGCTCCATGTTGTAGGAGCTGTATAAAGGGGGAGTGGCAACCTGCTCCAAGTTGTAGGAGCTGTATAAAGGGGGAGTGGCAACCTGCTCCAGGCAGTAGGAGCTGTATAAAGGGGGAGTGGCAACCTTCTCCAGGTTGTAGGAGCTGTATAAAGGGTGTGTGGAAATCGGCTCTAGGTGTTTTGAGCTGTATAAAGGGGGAGTGACAACCTGCTCCAGGCAGTAGGAGCTGTATAAAGGGGGAGTGGCAACCTGCTCCAGGTTGTAGGAGCTGTATAAAGGGTGTGTGGAAATCGGCTCTAGGTGTTTTGAGCTGTATAAAGGGGGAGTGACAACCTGCTCCAGGCAGTAGGAGCTGTATAAAGGGGGAGTGGCAACCTTCTCCAGGTTGTAGGAGCTGTATAAAGGGTGTGTGGAAATCGGCTCTAGGTGTTTTGAGCTGTATAAAGGGGGAGTGACAACCTGCTCCAGGCAGTAGGAGCTGTATAAAGGGGGAGTGGCAACCTTCTCCAGGTTGTAGGAGCTGTATAAAGGGGGAGTGGCAACCTGCTCCAGGTTGTAGGAGCTGTATAAAGGGGGAGCGGCAACCTGCTCCAGGTTGTAGGAGCTGTATATAGGGGGAGTGGCAACCTGCTCCAAGTTGTAGGAGCTGTATAAAGAGGGAGTGGCAACCTTCTCCAGGTTGTAGGAGCTGTATAAAGAGGGAGTGGCAACCTTCTCCAGGTTGTAGGAGCTGTATAAAGGGTGTGTGGAAATCGGCTCTAGGTGTTTTGAGCTGTATAAAGGGGGAGTGACAACCTGCTCCAGGCAGTAGGAGCTGTATAAAGGGGGAGTGGCAACCTGCTCCAGGTTGTAGGAGCTGTATAAAGGGGGAGTGGCAACCTGCTCCAGGTTGTAGGAGCTGTATAAAGGGTGCGTGGAAATCGGCTCTAGGTGTTTTGAGCTGTATAAAGGGGGAGTGGCAACCTGCTCCAGGTTGTAGGAGCTGTATAAAGGGGGAGTGGCAACCTGCTCCAAGTTGTAGGAGCTGTATAAAGGGGGAGTGGCAACCTGCTCCAGGCAGTAGGAGCTGTATAAAGGGGGAGTGGCAACCTTCTCCAGGTTGTAGGAGCTGTATAAAGGGTGTGTGGAAATCGGCTCTAGGTGTTTTGAGCTGTATAAAGGGGGAGTGACAACCTGCTCCAGGCAGTAGGAGCTGTATAAAGGGGGAGTGGCAACCTGCTCCAGGTTGTAGGAGCTGTATAAAGGGTGTGTGGAAATCGGCTCTAGGTGTTTTGAGCTGTATAAAGGGGGAGTGGCAACCTTCTCCAGGTTGTAGGAGCTGTATAAAGGGTGTGTGGAAATCGGCTCTAGGTGTTTTGAGCTGTATAAAGGGGGAGTGACAACCTGCTCCAGGCAGTAGGAGCTGTATAAAGGGGGAGTGGCAACCTTCTCCAGGTTGTAGGAGCTGTATAAAGGGGGAGTGGCAACCTGCTCCAGGTTGTAGGAGCTGTATAAAGGGGGAGCGGCAACCTGCTCCAGGTTGTAGGAGCTGTATAAAGGGGGAGCGGCAACCTGCTCCAGGTTGTAGGAGCTGTATATAGGGGGAGTGGCAACCTGCTCCGGGTTGTAGGAGCTGTATAAAGAGGGAGTGGCAACCTTCTCCAGGTTGTAGGAGCTGTATAAAGAGGGAGTGGCAACCTGCTCCAGGTTGTAGGAGCTGTATAAAGGGTGCGTGGAAATCGGCTCTAGGTGTTTTGAGCTGTATAAAGGGGGAGTGGCAACCTGCTCCAGGTTGTAGGAGCTGTATAAAGGGGGAGCGGCAACCTGCTCCAGGTTGTAGGAGCTGTACAACGGGTGTGTGGAAATCGGCTCTAGGTGTTTTGAGCTGTATAAAGGGGGAGTGGCAACCTGCTCCAGGTTGTAGGAGCTGTATAAAGGGGGAGCGGCAACCTGCTCCAGGTTGTAGGAGCTGTATAAAGGGGGAGCGGAAACCTGCTCCGGGTTGTAGGAGCTGTATATAGGGGGAGTGGCAACCTGCTCCAGGTAGTAGGAGCTGTATAAAGGGGGAGTGGCAACCTTCTCCAGGTTGTAGGAGCTGTATAAAGGGGGAGTGGCAACCTGCTCCAGGTTGTAGGAGCTGTATAAAGGGGGGGCGGCAACCTGCTCCAGGTTGTAGGAGCTGTATAAAGGGGGAGCGGCAACCTGCTCCAGGTTGTAGGAGCTGTATATAGGGGGAGTGGCAACCTGCTCCAAGTTGTAGGAGCTGTATAAAGAGGGAGTGGCAACCTTCTCCAGGTTGTAGGAGCTGTATAAAGGGGGAGCGGCAACCTGCTCCAGGTTGTAGGAGCTGTATAAAGGGGGAGCGGAAACCTGCTCCGGGTTGTAGGAGCTGTATAAAGGGGGAGTGGCAACCTGCTCCGGGTTGTAGGAGCTGTATATAGGGGGAGTGGCAACCTGCTCCAGGTAGTAGGAGCTGTATACAGGGGCACAATCTAATCTAGGCTCCTGTAGGAGCTGTACAACGGGTGTGTGGAAATCGGCTCTAGGTGTTTTGAGCTGTATAAAGGGGGAGTGGCAACCTGCTCAAGGTTGTAGGAGCTGTATAAAGGGGGAGTGGCAACCTGCTCCAGGTTGTAGGAGCTGTATAAAGGGGGAGCGGAAACCTGCTCCGGGTTGTAGGAGCTGTATATAGGGTGAGTGGCAACTTGCTCCAGGTAGTAGGAGCTGTATACAGGGGCACAATCTAATCTAGGCTCCATTAACCGTTGGACGGCATGGCTTCATGTTCTAAGGCTGTATAGCGAGGGCGGACCAGGAGCCTGGGTCTAGACAATCACGACAGTATAATGTATCAACATACAACAAACTGCACGTATGCACCACAAGAAAAAATTAATTATACATTGGCATAACAAACATGCAACAAATCTCATAGTACGAATGTTTTGCCCTCCAGTCGTACCTGGCGCCACCGTTACTGAGATCCTAACACCAGGAGTGTTGCTTGATTAGATAGGACAATACTAGCGTGCCGGGCCTGATGCCAGCTCAGCTTGTTCATTGAGCAGATTTAGGACGACGACACGATAAGCCAGAAATGCATTTTGCTGAGGTTTCTCAAATTTGAGTAAAAACTCAAGAATTAAGTCAGTTTTGAACTTAAGTTTGCTTCGAGAAATCGGGGCCTGGTCATAATCCAGCTTATTATAGAAGGATATCAATCACTGGATTGTCTGGTCCTGACTCGATTATTTACAGACCGCCGTCATATTGCTGGACTATAGCTGAGTCTGGCGTTAAACAACAAATAAAACAAAAAAATAAGGCTAAGTTTCTCTGAAATCCTTTCTTGTCCCATCTATCAACGTAAAGACGTTTTGAAGGAAGGCAGAGATACGACAAACAAACAAACAAACAAAACATAATGTTACCCTTTACTTTGTGAAAATCTTGAACATGAGAAGGCAAAGTGATTGTAACTTACTCAGCCATATCAAGCTACGATGGGTTGAAATAGAAAAAAAACTTGATGAATGGAAATTGGTTCTAACATACATTGTGATCATTGTGATTAGACGTTCTGTGAAATAACTTTTAATATACATAAGCAACAGAGAAGTGGAACATATTCGATGTCAACAGTTTCACTCAGACCTTTTGTCAAAGAACCACTTATATAGTTGTATACAATTTGTCTTTAATACCTCCTTGTGTATGTCCCTAGTAACACAGGATTGTTGTTAGAAACGAGTTAAATTAAGATCCGGTGTCTACTGTTTGAGCATGTCTAGGACTCGATTATTTACAGGTCGCCTTGATATAGCTATTATGCTACTGACTGAAGCGAAACACACTTTATTCGCCAATTCACTACTGATATTCTCTTTTGGGGCGTGTCACTAACGTAAATGTCTATATCCAAAATAACAATTGATCAAAATCTCTGATTTACGCCAGCTATTTAGGCTTTTTGAAAGCAGACAGCATTTCCGGGATAACACGAGCCAAATGGTTTATAGCTTTAGTGCCGAGCTTCCGACATTCCTTGCAACAGGCAGCTTCACATTCTCCACATTTATGCTGTCTATGAAAGTATCCCCCCGATTTACATCTGTCGCCGATGATAGCCTGTAAGTCATCGTGAAGCTCTCCAGAAGGATTGGTGGCTATTTGCAACACCGGTCTGACAAGTCCCCCCACCAACACCAATCGTCGCTTAAAGAACTGGACAGCCGCCTCGTCACTGAGATCTTGGAACTCCTCCTTGTGTTGTAGCCCATTGGTGCCACTGTATTCAATGTACACAGCCCGAGCTAGACAATCCTCAAGGACATCATCAAAGTCATATTTGTCTGCTAGATGCATGAAATGTACCAGCTGAGACTTAGATAAAGTTTTCACGTTTAGTTTCAGGTAGGTCGTGACAAACGTGCGACAGCGTTGTTTTAGAGACGTCATAACGTATTCCTCCGCTAGTGGAAGTAGTGCGTCAATGTTGTCTGCTGTGACCGGATTGGCGGTCGATGGGTAGATGCACAGTAACAGCTCTACCATGTCGTCGTATGTCTTCCCGGGTAGGGGAACTTCTAATAAGGTTTTCTCTTTGAATTCCCCAAAGAACATATTTTCAAAGACTGGAGATGCAAGCGAAAGTACTGTTTTGTTCACGTGCAGCTTTTGGCCCTCGACTACAAGCGCCACATCACTTGTCAGGGATTCCTCGGAAAACATGTTCTCAGAATTTTCCATGACCGCTTCTGTAATAAGAAATTCTATATCAGGAGCATGAGACGACGGTATCATACGATCACATACGCGCCACTGAGAGTTTGTTTTTGGACTGTTAATTTCCTTTTCGTGATTTTTTTACGTTTCAGTTTTGGCCAAATACACTCATCTCGACGGGTAATGTGACTGAATATTGGTAAAATGTAGTATGTTGGCATTGAGTTGCACACGACAACGGACTTTTGTTTATTAATCATGTCTTCCCGCTAATATTGTCTTCGGCTTTTGAACAGATGCACAAAAATTTGACGTATTGCCTTTCATAATTTGTATTCTTAGCACACTTTGAGCTTTATATCATGAGGGTCAAGATTTGTAAAGCACATTCTCAAATTGATCAAGACATCTATTTCGGAATTGTCGCATGACTGCATGTTCGGCGTCAAGCAATAACTATTTACTGCAGTAAAATAAGTTGTCAAGAAAGTGAGGGGATATAACTCTAAATATTATTCTCTGGGGTCGCTATATAATGAAGACCAAGTCATTCATTAATAGTTGTAAGGAAATATCATATTTGGGTGTAGCAGACGCCCATGGGCTCCACACAGTGGTGGACCATTTACTTGTTTGGGAAGAGTCTGGTGTTTTTTCATAATTTTTAAAACAATGCTTTATCATTATTCAAACTATTTCTTATTGTATACTGAGGTGAAAACATATTTTATGAAAATATTAACTGCATTAGTTCGGTACTTAAACGTGTGTTTTTTTGTTTTTTTAGGTGAGTGAATAAGTGAGTTTTATTCAATTAACAGTTAACACCTGTGAAACTATATTTTGATCATTTGTTTTGAATCAAACCTTTTTTTAATGGTAGATCTAATAGTGGTTTTCTTTTTATTCATCAGACGGAAACATTACGCAATCGTCTAGGATCCCTACTTGTATGTTATCTAGGCTTTAGGAACTGTATTGTAATGCATACTAATGTACCACCGATTGTGTTTTTTTCTGAGAAAATCCGAGATACGAGAATCCGAATCCGTTTATTCATAGAAACCGCCAGGGTGTCAAAACAATAGAGTGAGTGAGTGAGTGAGTATGGTTTTACACCGCTTTTAGCAATATTCCAGCAATATCACGGCGGGGGGACACCAGAAATGGGCTTCACACATTGTGTCTTCGGCTTGACGAGCGAACGCTTTAACCACTAGGTTACCCGACCGCCCCTCAAAACAATAGAATATACTTCCGGATAAAACTGAGGAAGCGTCTCCGGCAGTGAACAGTATTGTACACTAGTCACATGGTGCCAGGCCACTGTCATGTTATACTCACTATCGTCAACCTTGTATCTCTTGAGCAGGGGGGCGAGTAGACAGTCACCAAGGCCACAGACCACAACGCAGACACCAGGCACTTTCTCTTTACAGCAGGAAATTGAATTTGAATCAAAACTGTGGCGAATAATGTTCAGAGTTATCTGCTCTTGAATCTATTTCTATTAAAAAAGAGTACCTGCAACGTTTGACTGTTGTGAAATAACCAGCTCACCATATAAAAAAACATCAGTCGTCTTACATTTAAAAAAATGTTATTAGAATGAATCAAACATCGTTGTTTATGCATGCATTTAAAGAGTACGTTTGTCGGTAGTGTCACGTGTGTCCCATTCAATACCAGTGATTCGTCTGTATACAGGTTTAAGCATGACAACACTAGTACGAGGTCGCTATAAATAGCCAATGTCGTGAGGTGTTTTTTGTACACATACATTACATACACAAAGAGTCCTTGCGAAGCTGTAGCGTCGGCTGTTTGAACAAGATGATTCTGTCACAGTAAAACTGTTCATATCATGAACACCTGATGCCTATTCTTTGACGCTGACGTTTGATATTTATATGTCAAACATTCTATTTATCAGAGATATGAACTGCTAAAAATCAAGATTTATCCGAATTTGTAAAACTCTGGCATATGTATGTGGACCGGAGGACTTAGTTGCATGACATCCCTGGGCTGAAGTATAGCTCACATGGTCTCTGATACAACGTGAAACTAAACTGTTGCTATTGCTTAGTGTAAACTGCCGGGCAAAAGACACTTGCAAAATGGATTTTGCCGAAATATTACAAACGTTATCAAAACGTTACTAGGTTGAAAACAGTCGCCGAAACACTGCAAACGTAAGGCCCAAAACACAACTGTGATACCCGTATCAAATACATCACTATCGAATAACCAGTTCTTGTTTTTTCAATTAAGCCACCATCAACCATAAGTATACTTTCTTTTGCCCGGCAGTGTAGTATAATTCAATGTGATGCCACCGACGTAGTGGCACAAGTCGTGTACGCAGATCCAAAGTACTGCCTATATACTACTGCCGTCCCGTTATTTCATGTACACATTACAATATAAGACTGAACGTTCTAGAAGGTAATGGTACTGAAGCTTTGAAGACAGCTAGCATTTCAACATTTGACCTGGCATATTACAAAAACAAGAACACCTATTTCTTTTTTCAGTTAAATACATGTATAATGTGATTCACGCGTGTATCAAACTTTAAGTTCTCAAAACATCGTAAACGACTATATAAAACATACTACCGTCAAACTGATGATTATGCACGATGACAATACACGAGGATTAACAACATTCAAGTGTCCAACAATTTGTCTTTAACAAAGTCCTCGTTGTGGACGTCCCAAATAAACAGGATTGGTGTAAAAGACGACTTAAATGAGGATCCGGTGTCAACTGTTTGAGTATGTACATGGAAACTATGGATCGGTGTTAAGCCAATGGTTGGCCAGGTCTCGTTTATTTACAGGTGGCCTTGATTTTGCTTTTGTGCTATTGACTGAGGCGAAACATGATTTATTCTCCAATTCATTACTGATATTCTCAATTTTTTGGTGAATGTCCGTATCCTAAGATCAAAATGTACGTCTCACTTGTAAAACGATCACATTTCAGACTCTTTGAAAGCAGGCAGCATATTCTTGATAACGTGAGCTAAATCTTCCATCGCTTCAGTGCCGAGATTCCGACATCGCCCGCAACACACAGCCTTACATTCTCGACATTCGTGCCTGGCATGGCGGTGGGAGAACTCGTTACACTTGCCGCTGATGATAGTCTGGAAGTCCTCTTGGAGGTTCCCGGAAGCAGTGGTGGAGCTCTCCAAAACCGGTCTGACAAGTCCCTCCACCAACACCAATCGTCGCTTAAAGAACTGGACAGCTGTCTTGTCGCAGAGATCTTGGAACCCCTCCTGGTGTTGTAGCCCATTGACATCACTGTATTCAATGTACACAGCCTGGGTCAGACAATCCTCAAGAACATCATCAAAGTCATATTTGTCTGCTAGATGCATGAAATGTACCAGCTGAGACTTAGATAAAGTTTTCACGTTTAGTTTCAGGTAGGTCGTGACAAACGTGCGACAGCGTTGTTTTAGTGACGTCATAACGTATTCCTCCGCTAATGGAAGTAGTGCGTCAATGTTGTCTGCTGTGATCGGATTGGTGGTCGATGGGTAAATGCACAGAAGCAGCTGTACCATGTCGTCGTATGTCTTCCCGGGTAGGGGAACTTCTAATAAGGTTTTCTCTTTGAATTCCCCAAAGAACATTTTTTCAAAGACTGGTGACGCAAGCGAAAGTACTGTTTTGTTCACGTGCAGCTTTTTACCCTCGACTACAAGCGCCACATCACTTGTCAGGCATGCCTCGGAAAACATGTTCTTTGACTTTTCCATGGCCGCTTCTGTAATGAGAAAGTTTAGAAACATTTGAAAATTTCTTTCGCACAGCTCCGTGTTCTTGTCGTGAAACAAGCATAGCGATGACTTCAGACTTTCTCCAAGACCCTATCCACGACGAATTATTCAATGCCTGACAAAATAATCTTTGAAATAATCACCAAATAACAGTTTGTTTGTTTTTTGTACATTTACATTTATTTATATGCACAGTACATGTATAGCTGCTTCCTCCCGAAGCAAGGTGTCAACTGACTGTAAAAACCTACCCTCGCCGAACTAGAGTGGCATTTCTCGATCGTTGCGCCACCAGTGGCTATTACGAGTTACGTTCCTTCTATAACCCTCCTATTAACCAATCAGATTCCACCTCTCATATCACTTGCGTTTGCTTCAAACAAAATGACGGCGCCAGTCGAAATAATCTGATCGATAATCAAATGTATATTGTGATAAAACGGGGCTTACATCGCGAAGTGCATCAAATGACATGAGTACCATGATTAAAAACTTGAAAAGATTTGGAAAATACCTGTTGACTCCGAGTTGGCTGTACACATGCTTTACAAATCCTGCAATCGACCAAAATATAACTCCATAATTCCAGCCTAGTTCAGCGAGGGTGGAAACTGGACTTTTATAGTCAGTTAACTTCCTTGACTCGGGAAGATGGTGTAGCTGTAACGTTTACTATGCATTAGAACATAAATGGCATCCGATACCTTGTGAACTACTGTCAGTGACAATCGAGTGTATTATATGTCCCTGTGATTTCACACACTGAAGTGACAGCTGACATAAACGTACATGGAGAAACAGACTGTCGTGTCTTCATACAAAGTAACGGTGAACTGTGAGACAGGACAGTGGGCTGTGTAAAGAATATACACCCGGATAAAACAGAGAATCGTCTCCGGCAGTGAACAGTATTGTCCACTGTCACATGGTGTTGGTCAACTGTCATGTTATACTCACTGTGTGTTCTATCGTCTACCTTGTGTCTCTTCGGCAGGGTGGCCCTCCGAGTACTGTCAGTCAGCGGGTGGGCAGTCACCGAGACTACAGCGTAGCACGTGGGCACAACGTCGACACAACGTAGGCACAACGTCGACACAACGTAGGCACAACGTAGGCACAACGTCGACACAACGTAGTCACAACGTAGTCTTCATCGCCGACGTACTATACACGTTGTACTTTCAGCTTCCTATTTCAATCAGTTCTTGTTTAGATATGGTTAACCTTAACGGCTTGATGTATTACATATTTTAATTTAAGACACCATTGCTAAATCCAACGGAGGGAACACTGGCTTTGTACAGCTAGCAGGAGCTCTACCGAATAACTGAATCAACACTTGCGAATATTGTGTAGAGTTATGTGCTCTTGATATGAGTCAGGCGCTAAATCGATCTCTACGTGCAAACAACGTTTGACTTGTGAAATAACCAACTCGCCGTTTAGAAACACTAGTCGTGTTATGTTTTCAAAAGTATTATTCCAATGAAACAAACATCGTTGTTAATATATGCATTTACTTTTCAACAAAAAACTTGTGTTCCATTCAATACTCAATGAATCGTCTGTAAAATGTTAGAGTGTGAGGACACGAGAACGGGGTGGTTATAAATAGCCAACGCCATGCGTGGGTTGTTGTCCACATTGATAACATACATACCGAGTCCACACGTAGCTGTAACGTTGGCGGTTTGAACAAGATGATTCAGTTATATTAAAACTGGCTTCATATTTCTCTTCGAAACATACCGGTGAAGATACGGGTTAGAATGGGTCTTCAGCAACCCATGCCTGCCGTAAAAAGCGACTTTCCTTGTTGTGAGAGTGAGTGAGTGTGTTAAAATGTAACGTCACATCGGCATTATTTTTAGCCAAGTGGTGACGAGCTTGTCGTAATAGGCGACTAACAGGATCGGGTGGTCAGACTCGCTGACTTGGTTGATGCATGTCATCGTATCCAAATTGCGTGGATCGATGATCATGATGCCAATCACTGGATTGTCTGCTCCAGACTCGATTATTTACAGACCGCCGTCAAATAGCTGGAATATTGCTAAGTGCGGCGTGAAGCTCCTATATATATGGACCGGGGATTTTTAACTATAATCTATATCTATAGTCTACCTTTGACACCACTGGGGTGAACTAAAGCTCAGATCGTCTTTGGTGCCACATGAATCTGAACTACTGTTATTGATTTATGTGAACTGGTGGACAAAAGAAAATGGTCCCTTGAAAATTGGATTTGACCAACAAATTACAAACGATAGGAAAACGTTGCGAGGCTTAAATCTGCCTGTTGTTGTCCATTTGTGTCCACGAGGTAGATGCAGTTGCTGTAAACTATGTCTATAACGAACACGCTCTTAAAGGGACTAATGATAACGAACGTATTGTTTGGTCCCGATCATTTGTCATATATATGCTGTGTATATTCTTATAACGAACTACGCTTGTAACAAACTAAAATGTCTTTCGTTATAACCGTAGCTTACTGTACGCGGATATCAAGGAAGAATGTGCACTTTTATGGAAGGCTGAGTGTCACGGTGCCTGTTTGTGCAGTTTGACTCTCACACTATCAACCGCTAGTTTGCCTGCTCCAGCACCCCGTAAACAGTCGATGGCAGATTGAAATCTATTCACTCACTTGATAGTTGTAAAAAATGTTCTTGTTAAAATTATACACATCAATTTTCACACAACTACCAGTATATAGGTGTTCGGTTTGTATAGGTGAGGGAAGATATCCGCGCTGTAAGAAGTACAACTTGTGATATCCTTCAGCCGGAGTTGACGAAATATGGAGGACACAAAGTGCTCCCGAATACCACAGAACAGCACTTTATTTCTCTCAGGCCGAGCGCATCGGCACATAAGGTACAAACAGTATTTTACATTGCGGTGGACAGAGGTTAACCGAGAGTTTTTACAATTTCGTTATAATGTTTACAAATTTACATAGTTAGTTTTGGAATGATAACTTATGGCAGTTAAATAATTGCTGGAGTTGTAACACGTTTGGTCTTTTTAAATAGTGTTTTGGATGTACATGTCCCTTTGTTCATTGAAATAT